TCGTCAAGCATCCTCTTCCCATACACATCTACTTTCAGTTCCGAGGTTGAAACAATGAAACTGGGATGGGATCCTTGATGCGATACCTTTTCATGAAAAGCCTGCAGTTTCCTTCTGTAGCATTTTTCCCAGCCTTCTTTGTGAATGGATAGTTCTCTTGTCACCTATAAAGTGCTTGTGGCAGCTATCACAATCTTCTGTTCCCAAGCAGTGGCAGGACATGGTTTGAGGTGACAGATAGTCACAGTGGCGAGCTATGATGCCATCTTCCTCGTCTCCTTTCTCTGTCCATAGCCCGGCGCCTGTACACTATCTTGCCCTCACTGGGCTCATACTCAGATGACCTCTTGGGTATCCTTCTACTGTGTAAGTTCAGCCTTGATTGTTTGTCTCCCTGCTCCTGCCTGCTAGACTCCTTCCTTCCCCTTGTCTGTGCTTGCGCAGTCCTTGACCTTTACACCTACTCAGTCCTCTTCTCACCAGTCTTCTTCCCTTGACAGGTTCCTTTCATTGTCACTGGTCTTCTTGCTTCTCTTCTTTCTTACTATTAGCACCCGATCCACTATCAAAAACATAGCCCATTTCTCCTAAGAGGATTCGACTCTGACAGCGTTTCCGGAGGTGAAATTGGAGCGTGGTCTTTTAGAGTTTCTGGTGGCCCACCTTTCATCTGGAGCCCTCACTTGTGTAAGCTTGAACTCCAAAGCAAGGTTGCAGGTATCTTCTTCTAGCACAAAGAGGGCACCCACTATACAGGATCTCTGGTAGCATTGGCATACGCTTCTTCATCTGCACACTCACTATCCAACCAAGAACACAGGGAGTGGGATATTATTCCTTAGTTTTTGTTTTCGTTTGTCGGGACAGGATTTTTTGTGAGACTAACACATTTTCAAAAATCTCTCCCCCCCTTCCCCCATCCACTTTTCAAAAAATATTTCATGCCAACGAGATTGCTTGAATTTCATGCCAACGAACCCAAAACCTTCAGTATATAGAAACAGAATGACCCCCAACCAGGCCCCGCCCCAGTACTGCAACGACTATATTGAATACATACCAGCAGGAAGTATGTACTAGAGAGCAAAGACGGCATGCTCTATGCATGCAGTTTAACGCTACATCTCACAGTCCAAAAAATAATGAGACAAAATTTGATTTCACTCCATTATGTAAGGACTAAACCAACTGCAAGCAAAATAGTCGACGGACAACATCCAGATTCCGGAAAGCGCTAGCAAGGCGGGCCGCCAGGAAGGCCCTCCTCCATTGAAGGTGTGTGTCAAAAAGCGACAGCGTATCGCCAGGAACTGTGGCTCTACGAGAATTCGAAGGTACCAGAAGCAACCGATCTCCTAATCAGGAGACTGCCCTTCAGCGTCTTGTCCGAGACATAGCTTTGATATTAGAAAAGACATCAGGTTCAAGGGTCTGCAATGGAAGCTCTCCAGCAAGCATCAGAAGCCATCTTGTGGACATTTCCAATGTTCCAACCTTTGCTATCCATGCCAAGAGAATCACCATCATCCAAAAGATATCCGGCTAGCCAGGAGGATTCGAGGTGGAAGGTTTTAGGTACTATTTCTAGACCTGAAAAATTAACGTATAAGATAACATGTGTTCTTCTTTGTTGCCTTCTTTCGTGCATACCCATATGTCTTTTGTCAGTGCAGCCTTGACTGTTTTTTGGTTTGCATGAGGGCGTAATTGTTTTCTTTTCGTGTACTTTGTGAATGTGACAACTCCTCTTCTAGGACGGTTAACCTGTGGTTATAAATATATATAGTATACATATATAGATAGTAGTATACCTGGTCTGTGCAAGGATCGAATCATGCGCCTGCCATCCCTGTCATGCCAACTCGGGTCACATACATTCTGCGGCCTGTTCGAACTCATTACTTAGCCAAAACTCTGGGAGTTCACTCTGCCCCTTCTGTAGAGTGAAACTACAGAGCAAATTCATTGTTTGGCAGAGTTTTTCGTTTCCAGTGTCAACATGAGGAATATCCAGCTTCTTCTTCCCAAATTAGATGAAGATGTTTGTTACGTTGGGCAATTATTAGCAATCATTCCTAACATACATCTGCCCAAGCTTCTGCTGTTCTTGGGTACCGGTAAGGCGTACTGTACTCAGTACTGAGTAAGGGATCTGTCGGCTCTCTCACTCTTATCTGGCCTGTCTCTATCTCCGTCCAAGACTGCGTGACATTGTATGTAAGCAACCACCAACAGCATGTCGAATGTCGATGGAAAGAGCTGTAGAAGCAGCTCCAAACCCGCCGTACAGTAGCGGTAGCTCTCAATTTCAGGTACGGTACACTTTGTAGCGTCGAAAGTTCCATAGTGCTACTAGTCTACATGTAGATCTAGCTAGCTAGCTATTAAAAAAATAGTGCTAATCAGTATCTGTAAGTGTGGTACTAGCGTACCGTACCATACGAGTGGCTTGAAGCTTGAAGCACAGAATATTTGTTTAAAAAAGAAGGGGCTTCATAACACTACTCAGAGTAGTTCGAAGTTCGAAAGCATTACTATTTCTAGTAACATACATGTAATACTGTATACTGTAGTACATGGACAGCGACAGGATTTAAGCAGTACAATAGTACAATGGTAAAAGCAAGTTCAGTTGTCAGATTGTCAATTACTTACTTAGATATTTCTGACGCACGTCTTACTTGTACGGTAGTGACCTACCATACCTCTTGATGCGTACGGCGTACGGTACGCATGATATTGGGTGGGATTCATACAAGAAAACTAGATACATTCATTTTTGCTGTAGTTGTGAGCCAAGCAACTATCATAGTGGTTGGATTCCACTTCCCCGGATGCGCATCAGCATTCGGAAGACAGCGGACCACTGGAGACCCGAGATGATAAGCTCCACGATCGACCAGTTCAGCCTTCAATTTTGCTGCCATCTGCCATGCCTCTCACTAGTTTCCATCCTCGGTGCACTCTTCCCTTACTCTCACACTCTCACAAAGCTGTGCATCAGGATCTCCCAGACTGCAGTACAGTACCGTACATCGTACGCTTTCTACAGGGAGGAGCAGGAAAACGCATTACACCACTACACAAGCCATTACACACTACATGCAAGTACTATTTTATAAGGGCATTCAACAAGCTACCCTTTTGGTTGATTATATGAGCACTCAACAGGTTGCTCCTAGATTGGTTGGTTGTTGTAGTTGTTTACAGTGTGCCTAACACACATCAAAGCCATGGCTGTTGTTGAGTTTGTCTAGTGATGAGGGGTCAGGTTGTTGTATTCAATATCACCCTTCTTCTTGCCCTTGGCATGCCTCTTCCTCATGACAAAGGATTGAGCTACCCTTTTCTTCCTTTCTCAGCCAAGTTCAACATGCAGAACAATGCACCAAGACTCAAAGCTGGGGAAGGTAACATTGAGGTAGAGGGATCAACTGGAAATGGCAGCTCCATAGTGAACTCTGAAATGACATCACACCCTGACATCAAGGATGGACACTGACATCTGCTGCATGGCATTGGCGCCTCACATTGGTATCCTCTAGTTTCCCTTGTGTGTTGTTGATAAGATAATAGAACTCCCCAATATCCAAGAGGTCTTGGTGCCACTTCTCACTGATTGTTAGCTTCTTGCCATTCGCAGAGACCATGGTTTCAATGTCGGCTTCAGTCGCGCCACTGCTCAGCCAGACAATATAGTGACTGGCGAATCCATGCTCGTTCTCCCATCCTTGACCATCCTCTTCGGCTTCCAAGTAGTGGGGCCATCCTCTTCGTAACATCATCCTCATCATCATTGTCAGCAAGGAAGGAAGCTGCGCAACTGCAGGAGGCCTGGCTGCCACGACAGGGACTTGGTTGCGAGGAACAAAGCTGGGAAGAATGGTAGTGGTCCATCATCATCTGTGGTGGTTGTGGTCCCCTGAGAGCAACACCAGCAGCCATTCCTCTGGCTTGTTGAACTGAGAGCGAAACTGGTTTGTGGAGTACTTCTGGAATCGCTCATGCATGGCTCTCACAGCGGCGGGTTGTTCATCAGTGATGGTTCCATTGTGGAACAAGCGAAGCAGGAACTTGAAGTCTGGACCATCTTGCTTGAAGATGTGCTTGACAGGTTCCCCTTTCTTTGCCACGCTCTTTCTGGAGGACATGGTGGATTGCTGTTGTTATCCTGCTTGGCCAATTGCTGTTGCTTTGGTTGGTGTTTTCGATTTGTGAGAGGAGAGAGGAGAGAGGAAGAGAGGAAGAGCGCCATCTTGAAGATCGCTTGACATCTTGAAGATCGCTTGACTAGCTGGCTAGTTTACTACTGATAATGCTGGAAAGCCACACCTGTGCAGTTTTATGCAGAGTTTTCGCTTGTCAATACCGGCAAGATCGATCTTGCCAGGTACCAGTAACTTGATGGGATTAAACTTTCAGACGCATGTGGTTCGCGCGAAGGCTTAGAGGTCATACTGGTTCACATGGTCATTATAACAGTTCGCGATTTTTCTTCTCCTCTCAGCTCATGTGTATATGTCCTGGCCGACTCTATCCAACGCTCAATCCAACAATTGCATCAATTGGTTCTCACATTTTCAGCTTCCATTTTGCAAGGGCGTTCTGTGGGTGTGCTATGCCATCACAGAACGCACCCACATTCAGATCGCCCTTTTCAATGGAGTGATACAGAAGACTACAAAGACCTAGCCTGTTCAACTTGGGCACTCCCTTCTTTTACTAGTAATAGACAGTGCACCTGAGCCTTCTTTTGCTAGGAATGGGGTCTTCTAGGTTTCTAGATCGCCTCTTGAAATTGGCGTTCCAGGCCATCATGACGTCCCATATCGCTCTTTCCACAGGCGTTGTACACTGTTCAACAATAGTCTACCATGGTGGCTAATGTTGGATCTACATCTTAGAAGTATACTACAGCCGCCCCTATGAGCTAGACACTTTCATCTTTCACAGTAACTTCTATATCGGTGGTGGCTTGGACGTTCTGGCTGTAATGGGTCGATTTTTGTCTTTGGCGATGAAAGGCCAAGCTTGCCACAGTAAAACCTCATTATTCTATACAAAAATGTGACCAAAAACATGTAGACAATTTGAATAATTGCGCCAAATGGAAGCACATAAATACAGAACGTCCGGCAGGACCCTCTTAAGAGTGTTCTCTTTCTGCCATTCCGAATCGCCATTCCTGTCAGCACCTGGTGTCAACCGGCAAAATAGTCATTATTCGAAATTCCTCTGAATTCAACCACCATGAGCATCTACTCTGTTTCGAAGCATCTCCTTTTTGGTCTTACAAGGTTGTCGATTTGGTTGTCAATGGTCACGGCCTACTGGATTGTACAGAGCGCTACAGGTAAGCAGGACAGCATCACCGCTTCAAGACGATCCTTCTTTCCTTGGTCGTTCTTTCCTGCTTTCGTTGGTCGTTCTCTCACAAAATTGACTTTCGCTCATCAACCACATCAACCACAATGCAGATAACAGCCGATACCATTATCCGTACTGCTTCCCTCTACCAAGGCCTCACAGCCAGGGCAGTGGATCATGAGACATACCGGTACAATCGGACATTTCGGGGCTGTTTTGGTTTGGCTCCTCATCTTGCGGCAGAACTGTGGAACATGCTGGACGATGAAGATCCCCTCAGTGACATTCGATGGGTAACCTACTTTCTGGCTACACTCATGTTCCTACGTACATACACTGTGACAGCTGTACTCGCCATGATCTTCATGAAGGATGAAAAGACAATTCGGCATTGGGTGTGGGTGTTCATTGAGAAGATCGCGAGCTTGGACTTGGTGAGCGATGAGCAAGAATTCGCTTTCTTCTTCATTTTTATCCATCGCCGTCTTCACCAACAGAGAGCCCTCACCATGTACATGCTGTTGCACTCCAACACCACTCCTCCAGATCAGATGGGAGTACCGACGAATGAATGACAATGGCAGTCGGTGTCTGGTAACTGTTGATGGAACTGACTTTCGCATCAGGGAACCAGGTCCTTTCTCAACTGGTTGGTTTACCAAGAAGTTCAATGGTCCTGGACTGAGGTATGAAATTGCTGTATGTATTCAAACTGGATGGATTGTATGGATCAATGGTCCCTTCCCTTGTGGTGAATGGGTTGATATTGCCATTTCTTTGTCATCTTTGGTCCACATGTTTGAGGGAGATGAGAGAGCTGTGGCTGACAAAGGGTACAGGGGGTATCCTCAGTTCTTTGACTGCCCATGGCGACACCTTGACAATCAACAACAGACTAGCAGGAAGGCTCTTGCAAGGGCCAGGCACGAATGTGTCAATAGGAGACTCAAGGAATGGAGCTGCCTCCTTCAGAGGTGGCGCCATTCCCTTGATAAACATGGTAAGATGGCCCATGCTGTGGCCAACATTGTGCAGCTCCAAATTATGGACAAGCCGATGTGGCAGGTGGAGTACTATGATAGAGTCGACAATGAGTTTGACTTTGATTATTAAAATAGTTTGTAGTTACTCTAGTTGCAGCCTCACTATTAGCCATAGCATTGACAGTCAACAACCAACCAGTCTACTCAGGTGTGTAATGCTTGTAATGCGTTTTCCTGCTCCTCCCAGCGAAGTGCCAAAGGACCCCAAACACCAAGCTGCACCTTTAGAACATTGGTTATGAACCTGCTGTGTGCTGCGCATTGCGCATACCAGGATGCCAGTGGATGATGAGGTTGGAGTACAGACTGTACAGTAATAACGGATCTCGTTGCGTGAGGTCTCACCAGTCACTACTAGCTAGACTAGTAGTCCACTCCAAGTAATAATAGCTGGCTATTATAGCTGTATGTACAGTACTGTACTTGTACTGTAGCTCTTGGTACTGTACTCTAGCTATCTGACTCACTCTGAGTCTCTGAGTATACTGCACGCTGTCCCCTTAAAAATCACATCTTGCTGGATATTGAGTCGAGTCACCTCCAAAGCGGACTTTTATTAAAACCTAAAAACTGAGCTACGAACAGACGTGATGTCCTGCTGGGACGTTGTGAAGGAACTCTGAACCGGTACGCGATCTAGTAGGAAGTGAATGGTGAAAACGAAAAATCCTAGCTAGGGTGTACCATCCCCTTCCTCTGTCTCACAAAAATACATCCCTCTACCATACCAACCTGCATCTCTTCCTGCCTTACTTCTGCATTCTCTGTTGAAACAATGTCGCTAAGAAATCGAAATGTGGCTACCTTGGAGGGATTCGTCGGTGACAACTACTTCGACTTGGTGACGGACGTGGTGAGTTGATTTTATGGTTTCTTCTCTATACAGAAGGCATCTTCCTCAAACTAACCCTCTCATTGATCTCGTTTGGATCCTATTTCTTTCTCAAACGGCAGAGTGAGACATGGGAGCGAATCAAGCAGTCGCCACACTACAAGGAAGACTTTGGTGTGGCTCTCTTCACAAGGTACGTGGGACCCCGTTGCTATTTTGTACAAACTTGCCGCTCCTGATCTCACATGCCCTCATCTTTTGCTTCCTCGTGTCTCTTGGTATTAGAATGTTTGAGGCAGCACCAGATGTGTGGGTGCACTTTCCCTGGGGACTGGAGGGGCACAATCATCATCTCTTGGAGAGTCCACATCTTGCCGCCGTGGCCAGGCAATTCACCAAGATGCTAGATCGTGCCATTGAAATGCTGGGCCCTGATTTGCAGTTGGTGGAGAACCAGCTTCAATGGCTGGGAGTATCGCATGCCTATCTTGGCCTGACGCCCGTCCACTACACATTGATTGGACAGGCCCTCATGGCAACATTAGAATCCAAATTGGGTGCTGGGAGTGGCCACCCTCGCAAGTTTACACGCAGACACAAGGACTCCTGGAATACAATCTATTCCTTCATCTCTACGAGTATGATCCAAGGAGCTTTCTTGGATCTAAAGCGTGTTTCTTCTGTTTCGAAGATAGGCACTCACTAATGAATGCTTTTAACCTGGAGCTTTTCAAAAGCTCATGTTTGTCCGATATCAATACAAGATCCAACGATACCAGCAATGTATACATATAATGCATATTTATGCAAACTAGAAACTTGACCCGAGCATGTTCACTTGGTTATTTGCTGGCTACTGTAGCAGTGTTGTCATGGCAACAATGGGTGACGCAAATTCTTCCTGTGATTTAGCTTCTCATTCTTCTGTCGTCGTTTCGCTCTCCCACAGTTGCAAATGAGTATCGGCAATCGCATAGTCCCCATTGGGCAAGAACCGATAATCTTCGATCACTGCCTTTTGGTTATTATTGGTATTCTTGGTAGCCACCACGGTATAGTGTCGTCCCGTGGCGGCCGTCCACACCACCTTGTCAAAGAGCCCGTGGAGGGCGGGTTGAATTGTGGTGGCAAATCCATCGGCATATTCATCCAAATGCGGCTCTGTGGCCCTTAACAGGGAAAACAAGAGTGGATTGTTGCGTTGGGCGGCATATGCCGGTGCCGAAAAGTCCATTTCTCCCATCCACAACTGACCTCCATTGGGTTTGAGAATGCGATGGGCTTCGGCCATCACTTGGACCGCTACATCCAGGGGCAATTCGTGCAAGACAAAGAGGATTTGCACGATATCGACCGAATCCGACGCAAGTCCCGTGTCGGCAGCATCGGCCACTTGCAACTGCACCTTGCGTTTCATGTCATTGTCAATGGGATTGACCCAAG